CGATCTGGACGCCATCTTCGATTTCAAGATTGCTTTTTTGTTCTGCAATTGATAACAAACAATATCTATACTGTTACAAGCATTGCACATGAACCATATTTTACCTACATGAGCTCTAACACAATTGGCGCAATACTGCTGTGAAATCTCCACTAGTGTGTGACCAATTATAGAGAAAAGGGACATTTATATACGTATCATGTATATTAATTATAAACTCAACATTTCAAAAAATCATAAAATCAATTCACATTTACAGACAGGAATGAGTCAATGTCTATTAACCTAGTCATAAACGTACATAATTGTAAAACGCACGATGCTATTTGCTCAAGTTCAAGGACGATTACATGTACATGGTTTTCACACTACCAGTTACAAATGATTTATTGGAACTAACAATTTTTAGTTGGTATATTATTTCGTAATTAGGCAGTTTTACATTCAACAAATGACAATTTTTCCATAAAACATCGCAAAATGTGTGTATTTTCCGCAGTGTGGGTGTTCGACATGAATTAAGGTTACCCAAACTTTAAAGGTTTCTGTTACAAAATACTAAAACAAATAAAAATTAGCTGCCATCATCAAGATCAACTCGAATCTAGCTGTTGAACCCACAAAGCTATGTCAATGATTGCTAGGAATACGTCCGCAAACAAACACATGAAAACAACAAAATATATGTATATTCCAATTATGTATTGATCAATATATATAATTTTGAACTAGTATATGTGGTTTGCTGACATTCGTAGATTCGTATTGTCAACTAAAGCGCTTTTAAATAGGCACCCATGGGCGTGGTCATTGCTGCTAGTTTGTGTTATAAGAGAATGTTTCTAACCGTATACACACCATATAAAGGAAGTCAGTAAGGCAAACCGGTATGGTGCTTAGAAAACCCTAATTATATACTTAAAACCTGCCACCTTTCATACTCTGTACTCCTTCTCCTCTATTGTGTGATCTATATGGCCCTGTAAATTGCAAACTCCAAATGTTATTTAACTTTTATCATGCAGTAAAGTGAAAACAAAAAATGTAGCATTTGGTTTCGTTATACAATCTGTGAACACTGTTGTATGACATCAACAACAAACGTGGGTGCAAAATGATGAACCTGAATCTGCAAATAAAAACATAATTTTTCAAGATTGTTCATAATCTCTATAATGTTCACATAATTTCGAAGGACATTCCACTCGGTGTTGTTGTGTTTATAGCATCCATTGTAGGTCCAGCAGTAGTTCCATCTTGTGCATTGGTTGGTGCAAAGGTGGTGTCATTATCATTTACACCTGGAAGAAGAAATGCACTTGTTAGCAATACGCACTACGCATCCCATGCACTAGAATGTGTGTGCGTGGGATGAGTTTCATTATTTTGATAGACCATCCTTGCAAACATCCTACTTCAGCATTTAGAGTAATCACTCACAGAAAAGCAGAAACAACTCATATCTTACCGTGATTAATATCTTCTTCCGATTTTTAATTTTTTGCCATTGTACGGAGACAGGAATTCAAAGGTTGCTCATATTGTATCGATAATTGTTTTTCAGGCAATGTTGAGCATAAGATCGTGTACAATGAGTATATGGCATGGAAATGCGAAGGAACTTGAGGCTTGCCCCAACCTCCATGAAAAAGCGAAACCAGATTTAATATAATTCGCCAGTAAAGTCGAACAATATCAACAGATGGAGAAACGTTACTTTACTGCGAAAAAACAAAAATAAAATTGTCGTACACTTGCGTGTCGTTAAATGCGAAACTAGTATTCTAATGCTATTCTAGTTTTTGCTGTTCGTTCTAAAAGTCTGCTTTGTGACAACGAGAGAAAATTATTAAAACAGAAAAATGTTCACTTGAAACTGTTTTATTCAACCTTATA